ACCAAACGCACCCGACACGTCAGACGTGTACAATGGATTCGGCATTCGTCGAGCGTGGAACGCATGAAACAGCAAGAACGTTGAAATGCATCACAACTCGACAGGCAGATCTGTCATGTTCGTCTCCTGTTGCCCTTGTGAGGGTCATCGTGGGCGTCCTCTTGTGCCCCACGGGGCCCTCACGAGGCCAGCGGGGTGCCTCTTGGGGGTATCTTGGGGGTCTTAGGGGCCTGTCGAAGTCGGCAGGCTCGAAATATCGGTTCGAATGCCTCCTCTGCGGCCTCTTTTGCAGCCCTCTTGAGGCCCTCTTTTGTCTCTCTTTGGCCGTCTTGGGCGGCACTTGGGCAGTCCCTGGCCCTCTTGGGCTGTCGTGGGGCTCTCTTGGCAGCCTCTGGCGGTTCCTGGGGCAGTCTTGGAAATCTTTTGGGCCGTCTTGGGCGGTGGGGGACCAGCAGAATAGGGCAAACAAAAATGCGGAAGATTTGAATGTTGAATCTGTCGGCTTTCCAGAGGAGTCTCGGAGCACTCCTGTGTCGGACGTGCGGCGTCCTGAAGGACTCGGGAGCTGTCCGACGGGTGCCGGCTCCAGGGCGCGCTTGAGCCGTCTGAGAGCTGCGTTCCTCCTGTGGCTCCCCTCGGAATCCTCGTGGGGTCCTCCTTGGCCGTCCTTGGGCGCCTCCTGGGCCGTCCGTGTGCCTCGGTGGGCAGTCGCGTGGCCCTCCTGGCAGCCTCTTGGGGCTTGCAGGTGAGATTTTGGGAGCCTATTGGGGCTGTCTTGGACAGGCAGTCAGGGTCCCGATAGAGGGGGAAGCAGGAACACGCTCCAAAACCAGGAGAAAAGAGATTTGGGCTTACCTTGGCTCGCTGGCAAAGCTTTGGATCGCTCCTGGGGAGGTCTCGGGACATCTCCTGCGCCGTCTGGAGGCTGTCATGGAGGATTCCAGAGCACTCGTGAGCCGTTTCGGAGCTTCATAGCTTCTCTGTAGTTCCTATGGGTGCTCTTTTCATGCTCTCTTTGGCCGTCTTGGGATGCTCTTGGCTCGTCCCTGGGCCCTCTTGGGCAGTCGCGGGGCTCTCTTCGCAGCCTCTTGAAGCTCCCAGCTCCCAGGGGCGGTCTTGGAAGCCTTCTGGGTCGTCTTGGGCGGTCGGGAAGCAGAGAAAGAGAGAAGTGCGAGCTCCTTCAAAAACTGCAGGCGAATCACTGAGTTGTCCTTCATTCGGAGCTCTGGAGGAGCCTCCTGTGGACCTCTTGGGCCTACAGGGGTGCCACTTGAGCGTCTGATTATCTTGGGCCGTCTTGGAGCGCTTTTGGGGCGGTCTGGGTGCGTATTGGAACCTCCTGCGCCGTCTGGAGCTCTTTTCGGGCCCCCATGGGCAGTCTTGGATGGCCCCCAGCCCGCCCCTGAGCCCTCGTGGGCATGTCTTGGGACCCTCGTGGCAGCCTCCTGGGGCCCCCAGGACTCCAAGGGCCGGTCTTGGAAGCTTGTTGGGCCGCTTCGGGCGGTCGGGAAACAGAGGAAGCGAAAAGGTCGAAATCCTTCAGAACCTTGGGAAATCAACGAGTTGTCTTTCTTCCGGTGCTCTGGAGGAGACTCTTGTGAACCTCTTGCGCCTCCAGGGGTGCCCCTTGAGCGTCTGGAACTCATCTTCTCGACATCTTGGGGCGCTGCTGAGGCGGTCTTGGGCCATGTTGGGACCCTCCGGCGCCGTCCAGAAGCGGTCGTGAACGCTTTCGGAGATCTACTGACCCATTTCAATGCATATACGGGTCAATCGAGCTTTGCAGGATCCTGCAAGATCCTGCAGGATCCTAGCCTGGGCCGATGCACCCCTAGCGTTGCAGGATCCCGCAAGGTCCGGCGCTCTAGCTGACCCCCATTTGCAATGACCCCCGTCTCTTACAGCTCGACTGCAGCGGCTGCGGCCCCGCTTTCGAGCTCTCCTGAGCCGTCTCGTAGCTTCGAAGTTGTCTGGGGTGGGTCCCCGACCTCTCATGGCGTGCGGTCCCTGGGCCTCGCCCTGCAGGATACACGGATGAAAATGTTAGCCAGCGCCGACCCCAAACATGCAATTCATGTTGCGCAACGTGTGGTGGAAAATACGTGGTGCACTATGATTCTATACAGCTGTGTAACCTATATATCAGTGGTGCAATCTATGTCACCCACTCTGTTTTTGTGCAATACATGTTGTGCAGCTTGTGCTGTGCAAGCGGGTTGTGCATTCGATGTGGTGCAGTGTATCTGGCCCAGCATATGTGGTGCAGTCTACGCGCTGCCATCTACGTTGTGCAACCGATGTGATGCATCATATGTGCGGAAAAATACGTGGCGCAATCCAATCACGAGATGGTGCCATCTATGTTGTGCAACGCATCTGGTACAACCCGCGTGGTGCAATATATGTTGCGCGATCTACGTGGTGCAATACATGTGTTCCAATCTCTGCGGTGCAATGGACGTGGTGCAACTGATGCGGGGCAATAGACTTGTACAAACGAGCTGTCACATCCCATGCGGTTGCAAAAATCCCACCCAGACACCTACCCGCAACTTGGTTCGCAAAACCCATGCGGCGGCGATTGCGATGAGTGCTTGGCGTTGGCTGGTGCATCCCTGGGGCCGCGCCAACCCAAGCTCACGCGCGCAGCGGCCACCTAGCTAGGCGCGACCGCCGCGGCCGCGGTGGCGCCGACAGCTGGGCACATCCCAGCGGGCACTTCAATGTGAGTCGGTGAGTTGGGCGGGCGCGGTGTCATGGCAATGAAGACAACGGTAGACGCGACAATGATAGTAGCGATGATGGCGACGCTCTTGGCAACGACGACGGCGCCGCCAGTGACGGCGAGGATGCTGATCGCGCCGACGACGATGACGCCGTCCACGCGTCGGTGATGAAGGTGCAGGAAAGAGTTCGGCATGCGCGCGCGGCCGACGCGCGAGAGTGGCCCTCATGGTCACACGTTTGACACGGTTCGTGCCCCCCCCCCCAGCACGCGCACAAGGGCGCTCTCAAATGATTTCGGCATGTGGCTCAAAATGTCCTGTTGGACGGATTCTAGAAATAAATCTTGACCATTCGCAAGAGCGCGAGCGCAGGCTTTCTTTAAAACTGTGGTCGCGAAACCATGTGCGTTTATATGTGTTTTGAACACTCGGTTTTTGGATCCGGTACGGAAGCCACGTTGTTGACGAATTTCGGCACACGCGCGCGCGGCAACGCGCGCGTGCACTTCGCCCAATTTGCTGCAAAGGACTATCGTGACAACGCGCGCGCAAGGGCGCTCGAACGATTTCGACACGCGCGCGCAAAGCCCTCGCTGGTAGAATGTTATGAAAATGCTTGGAACAAGCACTGATGTTCTTGACAATTCGCCGGAGTGCGCGCGCAAGCGTTCTTGAAAATACGCATTGCGAAACCCTGTGTGTTTTATATGTGAGTTGGAAATTCGATCTTGAAATCCGCACGGAACAACAAGGGTTCGAATGATTTCGGCATGCGCACGCGACGACGCGCCCGCGTGCACTTCGTCCAACTGTTCGCAGGGAATTCTTGAAAACTGGAAATTTTGATAAACGAGCGCGCGCGCAATATTTTTGTTCTGGAGGATGGCGGGGGGGGGGGGGGCGGATACTGCCCCCCTGGGACGATGTGAACTCATACGGAAAATGAGCAAAGGCGGCGACATGGCCGCCAGGCCCGGCGAGCCTGATCAGGCTGGCGCTGGATGTCGGGCGGGCCCAGCGCGTCGATGCCCTTCGCCTCGTTGGCAGGTGTCCTAGGTAACGCCGCATCCAGATCCAGAAGAGCGGTGTGTGGCACAGGCGCAGTACGCGCCTCATCAAGGCACTTCTTCATCATGTCGACGATGTCCTGGGGCGCGTCGACTGGGCCCTTCCACGTATCTCTCCATTCAGAAGCCAGACCTTGCAGCATCGCCTGGTTATCTGAAGCGACCGTGCCCGAGGAGTCCTTACTTTCCCACGCCGGGGCAGCCGCTGGTTTCACGCGGCGCTGGACGGCCCCAGGTTTCTCGATTTCTTGGACCCACTTCATGGAAGAGGACCTGGAGGCCAACGTGGCCCGAGCATTTGAGAGACCGGCCCACCTGCGAGCCCTCTCCAGCAATTCAGGCACAGTTCCCAAGAAGACAACATCCAAGTTGGCGACCACGCCCTTCCACAAGAAAACCTCTTGAGGGTCCTGCCTCTTGCCAAAGTAGGTCCCGTCGTTCACGCCGTCCAGCAGCTCGATCCGCGTTTGCGCCTTCATTACACACTGGGCTGCCTGGTCAGGGTCCGAGTCGTTGAGCTTCAAGGCAGCATATCTGATCACCAGCGTGCGAGCGATGCCCCACCATTCCGCGCGCTCGTTCCTCACACGCGCTCTGCCTGGGGTCGAACGCACGAGCTTCCAGCAGCAAGCAGGGCCACGAGCGCGCCCCGAGTAAAGCTTCCACTTATCAGAACTAACCTTCTCGTGCAAACGAACTGCTCTCTCCATCGCAGTAGTCCAATGATTGTGCATCTTATCCACGGCACATCGACCCCCCCCTCCCTGCCACTGGAAGCCAAAGTACTGAGCAGGATCACAAGGTGCATGGTTCCCCAAAAATCCAGAAGGGGTTAGTCCATGTGCATCAGGAACTCCCTCCCAGTATATACGCGCGCGTGCGTCTTCCCAAGTCTTAACAGCCATGGCAAAAGTCATCTTCTCAACTGAGCTGACATCAGGTCGACTGCCCCCCCCCCCCCCCCCCCTAAGGTCGGCACCCTCTGCCCCCAAAGGCCCATTGGGCAAAGGGGGTGAGCAGTGCGTGCTTTGGGGGCCTACAAGAGTCATGCAAGCAGGCCTATCCATAGGCTGGTGCAAACCATCGAATGCCTCGTGGAGCTCAGGAGGAAGCTCTTGCAGCTTTCTTGTTCGGGCATTTGCTTTTATCTTCGAAGTCTCAACCCTCTTCGAAGTCTCAGGGCCAGGTAGGGCTCGTGGACGCTCACCAGTCGGAAGCGGCTGCGGCAAGACGAGGTGACGGTACCAGCACTGCGCGCGAGCCGCCTTCACGCAGACGTTGACCCCGCAGTGCGTCTTCCAAGGCACCGACACTTCAGGGCTCAAGCTCAGATCAGGAAAACCTCGTCCGACAAGGCCATAGACATACGTGCGTCCAATGCCTCTGTCGCACGTCGCACTGCACGAGGGAGCGACGATCCGAGTGCCGAGGCGCTCGGGAAAACCGGCGGCAGCAAATGGGGCGGGCTCGATATCCCAGTCCGCCAAGATCAGGCGCGGGCCAGCCAGAGAGCGCACAAAGGCGTCCAACGCCACATGCACGTCGCTATTCCAACCTTTCACTCCCAGTCCTGGCTGAAGGTACGCAGAGATCAGCACAAAGTTGCCAGCCTTGGCGCGCAACACAATCGGCGGCAACCTGCCAGCATCCAGAGAAGCGCGACGTGCACTCTCAAAGCTCGTCGCTGCAATATGCTTCTTCGTCAGAATCCACTCTCCACAAGAAAGCCCGCTCTCCGACTTGCCCGACGGGTGAGCCGCAGTGTGAGCAAGCCTCCAGCCGTCCGTGTCCAAACCTGCGCAGATGTCAGGCATGTCCGGCTTACCCTTGTGTGTCTCGCAGAAAGCCACGGCGCTGCACTCCGACTCCTGGGACAAGAATCGCGCAGCCTGCGGCCCCCACTCAGTGATGTGGCCGAACAAGATGGACATCGAGGCATCCTCTGGATCAGGTAAGTCATCAGAAACAGGCGCTGCATCGCCCCAACTCCGTGGGCACTGCGGGGCGCCGCTAGGAGCCAGGCGGCCCAGGAGCAGCAGTAGCAGCAGCGGGATCGCCGCCACCCTTGCCCACACCCTTGGCCGCCCTGGCCTGGGTCTCCGTGTTGGTGACGAACTTGGCGCGCATGTCCTTCCGCGCAGACTCAGGAATCGCCGCAGAGGCGCTGGGACCCTGGCCCGCAGCCGCGGCCGAGGAAGCCGAAGCTGCGCCGCCCGCCTCGGTGGGCGGGGGTGCGCCAGAGTCCCCTTCGCCGCGGACCGCGGCACCTCCCTCACCACGGCGAAGCCGGTTGGTGGCAGCCTCCTTGTGTGCGCTCTTCGCCTGGTCGAGGAGCGCCTGGCACTCCTTCTGCTTCTCGGTCGCTTGCCTCGAGATGTCCTCCAGCTGTTTCTGGAAGGTCTCGGGCGCCGTCTTATCGGTCGGCTCCAACTCGCCGAGGGACTCGAACAGGGCAGGGTCCACGGCAAACGTGATACCCTCAGGCGCCTTGTCGGGAGTCTTGCCCACGCGCTCCTGGGCCTGCAAGCTCGCACTCCGCCTCGACCATGTCATCGGCAGCATTGTCGAAATGGATCACGTGCCTTCTCCAGCTGCTGCTAGACGTACTCGACAGCACGAGCTGCTTTGTCCAGCACCTCCTGCTTGCGCGAGCACTCCGCCGTGGCCTCCTTGAGCATTGTGTAGGCAGGCTTGGGAGCTGAGACTGGCTTCTTCGCCTCAGCCAAGACCTCTAGCCGCCTCTGGGTCCTTCCCCAAGCCCGCCGTCTCCATCGCCTTAGACATGTAGTCTTCGAGCGTGAAGGTGGATGGGCCCTTGTGCCAGTCGCCCTGACCGTCCTTCCACCACGGTGCGTACCACGTACCATTCGCCGTAGTTGTCCATCCTGGCTGCACAGTGCCGCAAATCGCGCAGGCCCCTTTCTGACGCTTGAGCCGCCAGTTCCAGGCCCAGTTGCCGCACGTCGCGCACGTGGTGAACGTATTCTTTCCACCTCCCATCTGTTGCTCCAGCAGGAGCTCACAAAACCTTGCTCCAGCAGGAGCCCACAAATCACTGAAAGCTGGCTCGGGGAACAGAGCTATCCCAGTGAGGCACGGATGCGCGGAGCATCCAAATTCATTAGCCTTGAGCCAAAATGGCTACGGAGGAGGAGGAGGGAAAGGAGGGAAAGCAGGAGTAGTAGTAGGAGGAGCAGGAGGCGGAGGAAGAGGAGGAGGAGGAGGACGTGCCGTTCCTGCCCCCTGCAAGGCCTGCGTCGCTTTGCCCTCGCGAGGTCGTCGGCAGCGGGGCCGCGCGCAAGAGCGCCTTCCGCTGGCAAGGCGGGAACGCGCTCCGATCCGGTTCTCAAGTTGTGCCACAGTCGACCCGTTGTTCTGGGAGGGAGGGTGGGAGAAGGAGGGCCCCTCTGACTCGCTCGACCAAGGCTAACTTGATCCTCCTACTCCTCACTCACTCACTCATGGCATGAGCTCCTTTCCTGTAGGTGCTGCCATTGGCCCCCTCCTGCGGGTACCGTATGGTACTGCAGGAGGGGGGCCATACCGAAAACCTCCTACTCCTGCTGCTCCTCCTCCTCCTCCTCCTCCTCCTCCTCCTCCTCCTCCTCCTCCTCCTCCTCCTCCTCCTCCTAATGTAATTCTCCACGTCCTCGTGACGTGTGCTTTACGGCGGCATCAGGCCTTAGCCCTGCCACCACCACCACCACCATCAGAAACGCAAGCATACGCATCATCACCATCGTCATCACCATTATCAGCAACACCACCATCATGAGCATCATATTATCAATATCCTCACGCTCCTCGTCATCATCGCCATCATCAACATCTTCCATAGCGGCAGCGTCATTGTCATCGTCATCAGCATCGCCATCAACATCGGCATCCGCACCAACATCAGCAGTATCACCATCACCATCATAACCACCACCCTCATCATCACCTCCATCAACAACATCGTCCCCACCATCATCATCATCATCATCATCAGCAGCAGCAGCAGCAGCAGTAACAGCGGCACCAACAACAGCAACATCGTCATCATCAGCATCATGACTGGCACCACCACCACAAGCATCATCATCGTGTTCATCATCAGCATCATCAGCAGCAGCATCATCAGCATCATCATCAGCATCATCATCGTCATTATCGTTTTCAGCACCAGCACCAGCATCATTATCATCACCATCATCACAGACAAAACCACCACCAACATCGTCACCGACATCATGAACGTCCTGCTCCACGCCCTCGTCCTCCTCCGCCTCCTCTTCATCGTCATCATCACCATCATCGTTATCATCAGCAGCATCACAATCATCACCATCATCACCATCATCATAATCGGCAGATGACTATCATCCTAATCAGCATCGTCATTATCGTCATCGTCGCCATCATCATCACCATCCTCCTCCTCTTCATCATCATCCTCATCCTCATCCTCATCAGCGACAGCAGACCATCATCATCCTCTGCCTCATCATCATCAGCATCAGTATCATCAGCATCATCATCGTCATCATCACTTCCATCATCACCATCATCACCATCAGCATTATCATCATCAGCAGCAGCATCATCATGATCATCTTCATCCTCCTCATCATCATCAGCATCAGCATCATCACCGTCGTCGGCGTCGTCATGATCATCAACACTCTCGTCCTCATCCTCCTTAAGCGCCTCGTCTTCATTATCCTCCTTGTGCGCCTCCTCCGCCTCAGCCTCCTCCGCCTGCTCCTCCTCCTCCATTCTTTTTCCTTATAAATAACTTCTCCCGGTCGCACCCCGAGGCCAGTTTTTAGGGCGAGCCGGGTGTTTCGCCTGACACTTCCTCATCATTTATGACTCAGAAGCTTGAAAATTGGCAACGGTTTCACAGATGGAGGGCGGGTCGTTTTCAAAATGTGGCTCTCGCCATAGCGCCGCGCACATTCGTTCTAAAAATTCGCAAGAGCTTCACGGATTGAGAGCGAATCATTCTCAACATGTCGCTCTCTTCTTAGCGCCGCGCACATTCGTTCTAAAATGTGTAAGAATTTCACGGATTGAAAGCGGTTCCTTTTCAAAATGTGGCTCTCGATTCAGCGTCGCGCACATTCGTTTATACAATGTGTAAGAGTTTCACGGATTCCCATGAACAACATACCAGAAATTTTGTGTAAGAAGGATTCAAGACTACGCGGGTGCAACAGTGGTCCGCTGTGTTGAAGTCCCAGGAATGGCGTTCTGGCACGATTCCAAACCGTCAAGACGCAACAGTCAGGTTGATCTGTGGCGTTGGAATCCCGAGAACAATGTTTTGGCATGCTTCAGAACCTTCAAACGGTTGCCTTCAAACGAGGCAGCTCCCTCAACGGAAATGAACCGTTGTAAGGGCCTATGAAGAGGGAGCTTGGAGGGAGGGTTTATTCCATCATCGTTGATGACTCGTGGGTGTACTCTGGTCCTCCTCCTCATCATGCTTCTCCTCCTCCTCCTCCTGCTCCTCGTCCTCGTCCTCCTCCTCCTCCTGCCTCCTCCCTCCTCCCTCCTCCCACCTCTCTCCTCCCTCCTCCCTCCTCCTCCTCCTCCTCCTCCTCCTCCTCCTCCTTGTCCTCCTCCTCCTCCTCCTCCTCCTCCTCCCCCTCCCCCCCGATGGGCGCGGCGAAGACGACGCCGCCGCCGCAGCCGCCGCCGCCGCCGCCGACGACGACGACGACGACGGCGACTGGCCCTCTGGGCGAGCGCGCCTGGCCTGCGGCTGCTGGCCCCTCTGCTTGCCCTTCCCCTGCGGCTGCTGCTGCGGCTGCTGCAGCGGCTGCCCGAAGGACGCCTTGGGCGGCGATAAATGGGGGGCGATACATGGGGGGGCTGCGAGGGCTGCAGAGAAGGGGCTCGACAGGTCCCCTCAAGGCCAAGGGGCCCCTAGAGGCCCCGAAGGGGGCCTCCAGGGCCCGAATAGTGCACCCTTCTCCCCCCCTCCATGTATCGCCCCCCTGTTAAGCGACGCCCAACCGCCTTGCCACCGCCCCACTCCGCAAGGCCCTGCGGAAGGACCCCGGCTCCGGCCCCGGCCTCGCCTCCATCGGGGATCTACTGACCCAGGGCGATAAGATCAAAATCCTTCAGAACCTTGGGAAAATGAGTGATTCGTCATTCTCTCCACGCTCTGGAGGAGCCTCTTCTGGACCTCTTGGGCCTCCAAACGCGCCCCTGGAGCGTCTGCGATTCACATCTCCGCCGGCTTGGAGCGCTGTTGGGGCGGTCTTGGGGCATGTTGGGAGCCTCCTGCACCGTCCTGAAGCGGTCGTGAACGCCTTCGGGGATCTACTGACCCAAGTCGATGCACACCCAGGTCAATCGGACTTTGCAGGATCCTGCAAAATCCTGCAGGATCCAGCAAACGATCCGGCGCTCTGGCTGACCCCAGCTTGCAATGGCCCCCGCCTCTTGAGCCCCGAGGGAGGAGGAGGAGAGAAGGAGGAGGAGGAGGAGGAGGAGGAGGAGGAGGAGGAGGAGGAGGAGGAGAGGAGGAGGAGGAGGAGGAGGAGGAATGAGGAGGAGGAGGAGGAGGAGGAGGAGGAGGAGGAGGAGGAGGAGGGAGGAGGAGGAGGAGGAGGAGGGCTCCAGCGGCTGCGGCCCCGGTCCTGTGGCCCAGGGCCCTGGCCCGCGCAGTGCCTGCTCGGAGTAGCCGTCGCGGCCCGCCCATTGTCGAGGTCGTGCCCGAGCCCGCGCGCCGCGCGGAGTGCGCGCCCGAGGCCCGGGCTCCCGAGCCAGGGCCGAGGCCAGGGGCGGTGAGGTGAGGATATAAAGGGAGGGAGGGAGGGGGGGGGAGGGGGGGGAGGGGGGGGGGAAGGGATGGAGAGAGAGAGGGAGGAGGGAAGGAGGTGAGGATGAAGGGAGCGAGGGAGGGGGGGAGGGAGGGGACGGGAGGGGGGGGGGAGGGATGGAGAGAGAGAGGGAGGGAGGGAAGGAGGAGAGGGGGGGAAGTGGGGGAGGGAGGGAGGGAAGGCGGTCGCGGTTCGAGGATCAAGGCTCGAGTGAAGAGAGGGAACATCACGCTGATGTTGCCAGATCCTGCCCAAAAACGGGCCCTCGAAAAGCATGTGCGCGAAAGTCTGGCCGAATGAAGGGAGAGATCCATAGTTCGGACTGCCGCTTCAAACTTTTCCTCCGCGCCAGGAAACGGGAGCAATAATTCTCTGCGTGGAACGCAGACCTGATAGCAGAGAAAAAAGATCCTGGCTGTCTTCACATGTCTACACAAGTGTATGAACGCGCGCGTCACATGCGATGAAAAATCCGCCCCTCTCTGCGGCATTCCTCCGCGCCGCAGATCTCGCAAAAGCCTCTCCGCGAGCTTGGCCAGCCTAGAAAAAACAGAAGTTGCCAAGCTGCGCTTAGCAACATGATCGGCCACAAGTATCTCGCGCAAATGGTTTAGATACCTGCTGTCCTTGGCAACAGCCCACCCCCCTTCCATATCTGAAGGCTCGACAGCGCCCAGCTGCATCTCAACGATGAGAGGGCGCCAGTGTTCCGGGCCCTGCTCAGCAACGCACTAGAACAATTCATCGCCTCACTCGCATGGCCAAACAGCTCTGCCTACCTCGGCTCCCTCGAAACTCCTTTTCGAGACTGCTGCGGGGCACGATGCCTTGGATATCCTGGGCGGGTGGCAGCGGCGCTTTGGCGATGCGCTCGTTGCACCGATGC